AGCAGAACTGACTTAAATTGAAGAGCAACTTACATTAAATCTAGTATACAGCACATATTGCACATACAGCACATTAGTGCAAGTACAAATGAAAATACATATACTCCTCAAAAACCCTAAAAATACTCTCTACATTTGAATAGTACTGTCATTATAGCACTGTTATTGAGGCTTTAAATTTCCTTGTTTCTGTTAAAATGTCACATGTGTTTGTATAAAAAAATCATCATTGTTTATTTGGCAACTTACTTTGATTCATTCCTGACATCATGTTGAAGCCTGGTTGGATCCCAGCTGCCTGTTGAAGCTAATAAATATTAATAGGTATATGGGCTTCCTGTGGTGATACCTTTTATAGTTATCAAACCTTTAACTATACRAATTTATTGTTTTGTCACAGCAACATACTGAATAGATCTCCTCTGTGCTGTTTCTCTCATTTAAGACCCTTTGAGAAAAGAATTGCTTTCTTCTTCATAAATATCTTTTCAAGCATAGCTTAGAATATTCAGCACCACATTGGAACAATTTGTGTGTGACTATGGCTGCATGCTTTTTCAGCAGGCAATTACAGTGTGTGTTTTTTGTTTGCTTGGTTTTGAACAAGCCTGTTAGGTGATACCATATATGGCTGGCCTGCTTTTAAGCATCAATGTACAATAATTATACTACCAAAGGGTCTGAAATGAGACAAACAATAACCCTTAGGGAGAGCCTATCATTTGGTGTTTGATAATGTACCTGTTGAGCAATGGCAGACCCATAAGCCATGGGGAAAGCTGCAGGACTACCAAAAGCCATTCCACCAAACGTTGCCATCTGTTGCATTTTCTTCTGTAATTTTTCCTTTTCTGTGTCTGCAAACTTGACTACCATTGGTGATGAACARCCCTTTGTAATTACAGAATTTAATCAAGGATTTCTTATCATACATTAACAACTGAGTGATGACTTTCATCAAATTCATAATGTTGACAAAAGAAAACACTGAGATGTTAGATACCAAAGCTAAAAATAGGTTCCAAGCCTACAAAGTCCTCTGCAAGGAATTTCATACAAATCCTTGCATTTTTATTACTTCACAAATTTACAAATGTACATAATTTCATCATTATCTAGTCCACATATTCAAAACTTTCTATAAGTACTTATTTCTAATAGTTTGTTTTATATATGACAGTGCTGAATGTTCCTTTTATATTGCTGATCATAAAAAAATCAATGGTAGGCACTTATGAAAGTGGTCTATAAGATATTTTTGTCATAGCTGTACCAGTATTGTTAATTTACCTCCATAGTTCTGCTATTGTGCATGTTTGCTATTGCGCCCTGCGCCTGCATTCTGTTACTGTATTTTAGAAAMGCACACCCTAAAAGAAATTTATCAAACTCATTAATAATTCATTACTTAAACACAATTTCATTGCCATGACCGTATTTTTATATGAACAAGAAATTTCTCCCRATTTGMATACAACTTTGATTTTCTCTTAAAAAYWATAYYTTAWCTTGATGTTTTTWRSMAAAWTWKSYTTWRSYTKKKKTKGRAWKTKRWWARSWAWWWWAAAYWWTCMKKSCYKGRWCYTYWWKGGWYTWAAAACTTTAAATGGAGKWAWWRSC